TGACCCTTTGATGGCAGCCAACTAGATCCACAAATGCGCCCTGCCTTTTCTGGGAACTCAGGTGATAAAAAAGAAGCGCTGTCTCTCCATGGCCACCAGGGGGCGCCGCTGCCCCAGAGATGCTTTCCCCACCACAGGCAGTTTGGCTCCCTTCCATGGACACCAAGTCACTGGAATTAACTATGGGGATTAGAGATTAAAGGACTGCTGGAGGCACATTTTTCCTTGTTTGGAGGTGAGGGAAAGGAGGCTTTCTTGCTCCCAGCCGCACAGGAAAAACATTCCTCTTTCGCTTTTCTGACTTGAGGCTCAGCTTTTGCCAGCAGTCGAACGCAGAGGTGACTTCTTAATGTTTGACATATATTTCTAAGCACGGTAGCGGCTGTAGCGTTCCCCGCAAGTCAGCACATTTCATTTATCCATTTCTTTGCCTACATTGGTACGCTGCCTATTCCGCGGGACAGTGGGCCCACAGGAGTGGTTCCTTGCGCTTCCTCACCTGTGGAGCTCCAGCTGGTAATTTATCAGATCGGCCATGGCCTGAGCATCAGCTGCTGAGCCGGAGAGCGCGCAATAAATCCGGTCATGCAGAGGTGCCAGCTTGTTGAAGATGCGATTGACCACAGATTGTCTGGAAAGGGGATGGCAAGATGTGGAAAGCAATCAGGTGGCAGACGGGGACAGAGAGAGAACACGCTCCTTCACATAGCCAGCAGGACCAGGTTGCAGATCCTGAAAAGGCTGCTTCCTTGCCACCCTTTGCCCACCAGGTTTCTCCCCCTCCCTTGTATCACCTGTGCAATGAAACTCACATCCCAGCAAGCTCATCCAACCTGCATGGGCATTTCATTTCTCTTCGGATAAATTGTGGATCCTGCCTCTTACTCCCTGGCTATGTTTCACTTAGCCCATCCTGGAGAAGAGCCTTGGAATAAGCTTTGCTGCCTGGCTGACTGTCTGGATTTGCCAGAATCACGGTACGCAGGGCTGGCGAGAAAATCGAGAGGATCGCTGTAGTCCACCAAGAGAGCGAGTGCTGATTGGCTGGGGAGGGACCGGCCCACAATCCCCCAGGAGCTTCCATGGCTAAAGGGGGCCTGAACCTGGGTCTCCCCACTTCTGATCCAGCATCTTCCCCACTACACCACCCTGGCTCTGGGGCTGAGAGGGAAGGACAGGTCTAAATCACCCAGGGACCCTCCATGGCTGAGCGGGGACCAAAACCTGGGTACCTCAGTCTTAATTCCACACCTTAACCACTATGCCATGTTTACTACAGTCATTAGAGAGGCTGCCTGGAAATATTCTCTGAGCAATTCACAAAGCAAGAAATTGGATAACCAAAAGCAACCAATTACAGCAAAAAAAATTAAAATACTTCTGGAAGCAGAGAAAATATAAAGGATCAATCAAAGCAGCTGTTAAAATCAGGACAGATGCAAATGGTGGATTCAAATGCAGAGCTTTCCAATCCCAATTCTAACTGTCCTGGGAGGATGAGGAATGTTTCGCCTATTGTTTAAATAACCAAGAGAGGAGCCCAGAACAAGCCTCTCTGGGAAAGCTGGAGTGCCCCTATCAAAAAGACCCATATTTCTGGAGAAGGACTCAAGCTTTGCATGTAGAAAGAGGCACACCTGAAGATGAACGCATCTCAACCTGGACTCAATTTCATCTCCTGCTACCACCAAGCCAACTTTGGCTGATCTTAAAAGGATCCGGTTAATACTTGGATGGGAGACCACTAGGAAATCCCAGGGATGAGGACTAGATTGGACGATTGAAAAAACACCCTGGAAGAAGGCAAGGGCAAAGCACCTCTCTGTTATCTCCAAGAGAGCTACCTGGACATGTCCCTGAGCCCACCAAGAGTTGACTTGAAGAGACTTTACCTTCATCTCTGGGGAATGAAGGGATGTTTCAGACCTTTCCTCCAGCTCACCCATACACACAATCCTTCGGCCCTTACCCTGCAGAAACTCGGGAGTCAGAGCCCAAGATGACCCCGCCATCAAACTCCACGGCCATGATGGTGGTCTGTAGAGGAGAAAGGAACAAGAGGTGTTCTGAGTGATTCAAAGAGAAGAGAGGCATCAGTACTATGAGGAGGACCAGACCAAGGAGTGGACTCCACAGAAGACTAAAAACTGCTCTGGTAATGGATCTTCCCACTCTTCCTCAAGGCATCCTCTTTACTCTCTACAAGAGGTGGGTGGATGAGAGGAACTTGCCCTTGAAGGGAAAAAGATTTCCACAGGACCTGGTGTTGCCGGAGTCAAAGCATTGCGTAGCACAAGCAAGGCCTCGCACACAGTTCATTCCTGCTTAGTGTTTAGTTTCCAAGGCAGAGGGGACAACTGGTGGGCACCCAGGCATCGTTGAGCTGCATCAGCCTCAGCCAGCGAAAGAACGATGGGAGTTGTAAAGATCGGGGATAATGGAAGTTGGAATCCAACAATACCCGGAGGGTCAGGGCTACCCACCATTATAAACAAAACAACAGGGACTCCAGCTGTGTTATTCACATGTTGTGCCCTTGAATGGGAAGCCCGAGACTCCAACAGCATCACAGAGAGGCTGCAGCTGTGTCATGCAGTGAAAAAGAGCATGTTTCCCACCGGGGAGGAGCATCGATCCTCCGCTGTCCCAGGAGTTGAGGGGGCAGCTGTGGCAAGGCTCCCCTTGGCCCCACGAGGCCGGTGCCCAGCTGTGTCCCTTCCTGAGCCGGTGGGATGTGGCAATAGTTTTTCAAGCCTTGGTTACACCCTGTCTTGACTACTGTACCAGGCGCTGAGCGGGGCAACCCTTGAAGTTGCAATTGGTGCAAAAGGGACAGGTGGACTGCTAATGGGTGCAAAGTAGCGCGGTCAGATTGAATGCCTGGACTGAAAGGTCGTGGAGAAAACGGTGTGGTCGCTAGGATTGAAAACAACATGATGGCACATAATCAATCAAAAAATCCATCGAAAGGTCTGTGCTGTTGCCATCTGCTTCTGGGCACCATGACAGGTGCTGCTTTTAATCTTTGAGGGCCCAACCATCTTAAGGCTTGACTACTGGAAGAACCATCAGCTGTTCAGACGTGCAGAGAGGCCTTGGGAAGACGCCCCCACTGTCCAGGGCCCCTCTTTCGGCAGGGGGAGAGGCCCTTCCCCTCCGTGGCTCCCCAGCTGTGGAACAGCCTTCCTGGGGAGACGCCTTTGCCCCCCCAGCCTTTCAAAAAGCCCCCCCAACACATCTTTCCACCCAGCTTTTAAACGCTCTATGATTTCAGCGCCTGCTTTAGTGTTGTTTTTAATCTGTGTTCTCAGCTTTTAATATTCTGTTTTGTTTTCACAGTTTTGTTAGCTGCCTTGAGTCCTTTCCAGAGAAGAAAGGCAGAACATCAATCAGTCAATCCATCGATCAATCCATCGATCAATCGATCAATCAATCAATCAATCAATCACATAAATAATAAATAAATTAATAAATTAGAGGCACTTTCTCCTTACCTCACATCTTCGAGGAATGAGCTGAATCCAGAACAATTGAGGCTACCAGGTTATGGGGCTGCCCTGGATAGAATTTGGGGTCCCACTATGAGAACCCCCCCCACTGTGCTATAATGTATGTGACCCTGATCAGGAGCATGGGGGTCAAAAAAGTCAAGATGGCAGCTGCAACCTTGCAAATGAAGCCCTGTCTCTTTTTATGTGCTTCATAAAGAAGGCAGGTCTTCAACTTCAGTTGCGGCCACAGTCTTGACTTTTTTGACACAGCTGCGTCGGTTCTCTCTGTCAGACAGCAGGCTGAGGATGTATTTGACTTTGGGACACTGTCCCAAAAGGAGATGGGGCTATGACAGAAGTACTCCACGGCAGGACAAACCCCACATTCAATTTAATTTAACTTTAATGTAATGACTGAACTGCAGTTAATACAATGCCTTCCTGACTGTGCTCTCACTTAGTTCAGTTGATTGATTGATTGATTGATTGATTGATTGATTGATTGATTATGTGCCATCAAGTCATTGTCAACTCATTGTGGCCACACAGATTTTCTCCACGACAATCTATCCCTAACCTGGTTTTTCAGCTCTTCCAAGGGTGGTTAGTTCAGTTAGCAGCGTTAGGGTGGCATTTGCAGAATTCACTAAGCCAGAAACCAAAAACCACGATTCACACAATCAAAGATGAAGGTGCGGTGCAAATCCATCTGCTTGAGTTTATTTGACCAAAGACCATTTGGTCAATGTCTTGTGTGAACATTATCCCCTCCCAGTTCACCATGTCTTCCATCTGCGGTCTGAGGAGTTAGTATTTGGCAGCAACTTTCAGGTGCCGTATTTGTCCTCTCCTGTCGTTTTGGTTCTTTTTCACCAAGGGTGCCCTGGAGGTCCGTGTGATCAGAGGCGTCTGCAGGTGTCGTCAAAAAGTCAAGATGGCAGTCACAATGGTGTGATGGAGGCCCCACCGGTTTCTACGTGCATCACAAAATGGTCAGAGTTTCAATTGCACCCTTGTGCTTACTACCCTGACTTTTTTGATGACACCCTCTGGGTACCCTCTGGCAAAAGGAGGAGTGAGAAAGAAGGAAGCCCAGAACAGAATTTCAGGAGAGAGGCTGGAGTAGAACCAGCAGCCACAACATCCCTTTTTCACTCTCGGGTTGAGCCTGAAAACAAAGCCAAGCGAAAATCCAGAGTCTTGGCAGGGCATCCCAGTGTTTTGGGCAAAGGTGCTTTCCCTGCCTTCCTATCAGATCCGACCTGGGAATGCCGAGCACTGCACTTGACTCACTTCTCCTGCCAAGCAGGGGAATCTGGGCTGGCAGGGAGCCCCAAGGCCCAAGGCCTGCCATCGGCACTTCCGCAAAAGATCTCTCTGTGCCTATTGTGGCTTTGCACGGAGTTTTACAGTGTGCGCAGATGGATGTGCTTTCCCCATCCCTGGCGCTGGAAGGTCCAAGGATCAGCTTTAAACAGCGACTTTCTCCCTAGATTAGAGGACGCCACCCTTCTGCATCCCTGTGGCTAACACACCCACCCACTGAAACATTTTGCACAGCAGACCGTGTGGGTGAGAGGAGGATTATTTTCATTTCTTGTTGATGTTCCCTCCACCCTCCACCCACTCTATTTTCCAGGCTTTAATGGAAAGGGAACCGCCAACAAGAGCTTAACGCTGAGCCAGGAGCAAGAGAAGACCACAAAGGAATGCAGGGGGCTTCAATCTACTGGATTCAAAGCTACATCTTCCCCACCTAGTTATGGGGATCCCACAGGGAAGAGAATTAATTATGCCCATAGAATCCACACACACACACACACCCCGCTGGTGGGTCTCTCCCAGCAAGAGTCTCATCAAATATTAGTAGGCTGCTCACTCTCCAGAGTTTCTCCTGGCACATTTCACTGTTGGTTTATTTGCATAATTTACAGTAACACACTCAAAGCACTTGTGTGTTTAGATTGGGAAGGCAAGAAAAACAGATAAAATTGCCACTGATTCCTAGCAGGAACGGGTTGGCTGGAAAACTGGATAAAAAAAATAATCAAAAAGGTTTTTAAATAATATCCTTTTTACTTAAACCAAAAGAGAGCAAAGGTTCATGCAGCTGTGTGAGGCGCGTAAAAAATGGGCGGAGCTTCAATCACACCACCGTGGCTGCTATCTTGTTTTTTTTTGTTTTCCATACTTGGCAGACCCCTGCATAGCATGCACTGGACCCCCAAGGGCATGTTATGCCCTTTGCTCCCAGCATCAGCTGCCTGAGACGGCCTCTGCTGCTCCCTGCCCAACGGGAAGGCCGGCCTGGTACAGTATCTAGAAGGGCCACAGAATTGCAGCTTTGTAGTCAGACGCAGATGTGGCAGCCCTTTCATTTTCCTTAGGCATTACGGTTACTTTTAAGACCTTTATCTGATCTCCAACAGCTCTGAAGAATAAGATGGGGGGTGGGTATGAGACATAAACCAAAAAGTATTCAAGAGTTCACACAACTTGCACCTGATTCTTGAAAAAGCTCATTTTCTGGGAATATGTTGACCCATGAACTAGTGAAACAGGCTGGATCCATACAACCTATTAACCCCCTGCTCGGACTAACCCAAGTTCAAAGACACCAGGATTCACAGGTTGCACAAAGACAGCTGCCCAGTTGTGAACCAACAAGTGGGTGCTTGCAGACTGACAAATGCCTTTCAACCCTTTATGTCATATATATGCACATATAGAAAGTGTCTTGGAGAAGAGAGACTGTTCATGCCCCACCGCCAAGACTGCACAAAGGTTTGCCTTTCTGATCTCCTTTTCCTAACATTTAGTTTATGTCAGGGGTGAAGAACTTAGGACTTTCTGTTAGGACTACAACTCCCATCCTCATGGACTATTGGCATGTTTTGGCTGAGGTCCATAGGGTCAGAAGTTCCACTGCAAATTTTAATTCTTTTATTTTACAATTTTTATATCCCACCCACCTCAAAAGCCTCTGGATAGGCTACAAGTCAAAATTGTAGAGGGAAACACAGAAATATGCCTAAATGGTCAAACAACAGTAACAATAAATCAGGTTCCCCAAAGAGGTCAATATCAACCCCCAAGGGTCGATGAGACTATCCAAGGGATGATGATGATGATTAATGCTTGAGGGTCGATGAACAATCTGAAACTTCAAGAAAGGGGTCAATGGGCCAAAGAGTTTGGGGACCCCTGCAATAAATCAATAATAAATCAACCCTTCTAAAAATGGGTATCAAGAAAACTTTGCTAGGGTTGATGGGATGGTGAAATAAGATCTTCTTAAAACCAGGGAAGGAGCTTTATGGACTTCTGGGGTGGGGAGTTCCAAAGTGCAGGGGCCACCAGAAGGAGGCCTGTTGTCCATGTCCTGCTCCCTTCAGAAAGAGGGGGGCCCCTGAACAGGCCTACCCAAGATGTTCTCACTGGACCGGCAGATTCAATTGCCCCCAGGCAGTGCCCGATGTAACTGGATGTGACATCTTAGTGAGTGAGACTTGCTCCTTGAAGTTAGAAGGCCTCCAGCTCATCTCCCAACCTCAGTTTCTCCTCTGTAAATCAGGTATAAAAAATAAATGAAGTCTCCTGGTGACTTCATGGACACAACTGTCCACTTTTCTTGGCCACAGAATGGAAGTCGCTTGCCTTTTTTCAACGTCCCAAGCTAGCCCTGGGATTCCCTGGTGGTCTCCAATCCAAGTGGTCCAGCTTGCAAGTAGAAACAAAGCACTGCAACTCTCCTGAATCCAACGCCTCCCGCTTGGCTGGCGAACCTCTTCTGACCTCCTTCCTCTCCTTCCTTTCCCGCTCCCCATCCCCCCTTCTCCTCTGCTCACGTTGCAAAAGCTTGGGGCTCCCGTGAGCTGACCCCCGCCGTGCACAGCCACTCACCCCGGTGCTGATCTTCGTTGCCCCGCGACGGTCCATTGCGGCCCCTTTCCCCGAAGCGCCTCCGCGAGTTTCCCGGGTCGAAAATGAAAGTGACAGCGAGGTCTCTCTGGGCGCAGCGCCTTCCGTGGCCACCCGAGGGCGCCCCGAGCCGTCAATTTGTCCCGGCAGAAGCGCCGCGACGGTGGGCGCAGAGCGGGGATTGGACTACAGCCGCCATTATCCCCAGCCAGTTTACCCGAAGGGAGGGTGCGAGGCGGGGGAAGGGTCGCATTGCTATGGCTCAGGCGTCGGTTCCCCACGCGGCTTCCCCCCGCGCTGCCTTGGCCGGGAACCCGCTTCTGGGCGCACAGCCAGAGCCAGAGCCTGACCCTGACCCTGGACGCCGGTTCCCGGCCAAGACCGGGCCTTTGAGGCGCGCGGAAGGAGCAGGAGCCAAGGAGCGCTCTGCACTTGGGGGGTGGGGGTCGCACTTTACGACCACTAGGAGACGCTACCCTTCAGAGGAGCGCAGAGCCAGAGAGAGGCCCCGGTCCACTGAGACGAGGTGGTCAGCAGCAGCATCGCGTCGGACGTACAATTCCTGGGCCCCGCTGTCACGAACGCAAGCCACCCGCTGCTTCTCCGCCGCAGAAAAGCGACACATTTAGTATCGGCCGCGTTCACACGACACATTTGCCCGATTGGCGAATCAGCGCGTTGTTAAAAGGGAGGGTTCGCACGTACTGAGCTCCCAACAGCCAACTACAGCGCTGTAATGTTAGTTCGCTTGTGCCAACGTTAATGACCTCGATTAAGCCTGCTGTGTGAATGGGACCATGACCGGATTCTTGCCCCACCCGGGAGGCTCATTCAGCTTTTGGTCTCCTTCTTGAGGCTGCATCAAAATGTAATTATCTTCTGGCTACATTTCTTCTCCCTGCAGGTGATACATTGCATTTCCCCCCTCTTTTCCGGCGTGCTTGTAGCGTGGCTCGGTCTTTTGTGACAATTCCTTTTTTTTTTTCTTCTTCTTTTTTGCCTTCAAGGCAGCGTTGACTCCTGGCGACTGCCTGGACAAGTCCCTGCAGTTTCCTTGGCAAGATTTCGGAAGCGGTTTTCCCTTGCCTTCTCCTCCTTCTCGGGCCGAGAGAGGACTGGCCCAAGTTCCCCCAGCTGGCTTCGTGCCTAAGGCAGGACTAGAACTCAGGGCCTCCCGGTGTCTAGCCTGGTGCCTTAACCACCACCCCAAACTGACTCTCGACAATTCCTTGGATCCTAATAAAGATACTGCCTAACTGGGAGCTGTGGGGGGAGGGGCAGGGGTGTCCTCAAGGTATGGTCAAGAGTCAAAAAGGCGGCCGCGACGGTCGAAGCTCCGCCTATTTTTTAATGGGGGGCTTTCCTCCTTTGGGGCCAACGTGGTTAGCTTTCTTTACGTCATCCCGTCTAACTCCCCTGTTGATGCAGGAAACCAAGAGTGTCTCTGAGCTGCTGCAGAGTGCATAGTATCCCTTCCAGAGGACACCTAGAAAGTTGGGCGGAGGAAGAGCAGAAGGAGCGGGTGAAACCGGACAGCGGCTGGCGCGCGCAAATAAGAGCCCGAGGAGCCCATAGCCGGCTGAGAAGGCGGGGCAACGATCCGACGCTCGTGGGAATGTGCGTGCGCGTGGGACAGGACACGCAGGTCTCAAGTCCTGTAAGGAGAGTCTAGGTGTGGGGGAGAAGGCTGCTTTTCAAAAAGCAGAAATAAGTCGAGGTGAATCATGCAGCCCATCATCCGCACCTTTCCCTCCGCATCGCCCGGGGTCACCCGCGTGAATGACCCGCAAGGCGACTCAGGACCGGCGGCGGAGCGAAGCCAACCTTTTTCCGCGCAGCGCGGACTCCCGGGCCCCCGCTGCCCGCGGCCGCAACAGCAGCTGGCTCGGAGGGTTTCAGCAGGTCTGGCAGGTCTCTGGAGGATCGGCCTGCTAGGATTCGGGGCTGCGGCTCCCTCCTGAACCGGCGGCTGGGAAGCGGGAGGGGACCGATAGGACCGAAATAGCGACCGAAAGGAGGAACCAGCTTGTCCTGAGGGCCGCCCAGCGCCTCCGCCCCCTCCCCTTCCCGCCTTCTCGCCACGCGGCT